GACAACATTTTTCGTGTATATTTTGTGATGTCGTCCGCCATCAGCAACTTCTGGCACATGTTTGTGTTCAAAACTGGATGGAAAGAACTTCACAGTGATTTGAACAACCTTTATTCACATACGGGAATTAGTTAACATCATTTGATACAATAGGGGAATCATTCTCATATGATATTCGAAGAAAAATTATTAACAACTATTTTACACTCAAAATATTGATGTATTCTAAAAATGTTGATGTATGTACAGTATTTATTGTTCAAATGGTATACTTGATCCACATACACACACCAACGGTAATTGAAAGTAGGTTAAACGATAAGGATCAAGATATGAAAATTCTAATTATAGTAGTTGTTCAATGTACCATTGTCAAAGTGTAGCTTCCAAACCTTTTTTAATTGTATAGTCAAGTATTACAAAGCAGATTCTTTACTCTCTTCAAAAACTTGTAGTTCCGCTAGAACGATCGCCCAGAAAATCTCAATTTATTGTCGTAAAGTGGTAAAATGTCCTAAATAAATTTAGGAAAAACTATTCTTAACCAGAGACAATTATCAACTATCCTCTTCCAGCTTGGGTTGTATCTTCTTTTGATAACTTATATGTAGATTTATCTCTACGTTTCGCTGCATTTATATGGCAGCCTTCTTGTTAGAAACTCAAGTTTCCAACTTAAATAGAGGGTACGAAATGTAAATCCATTGGAACGACGTGAAATGGTCCTTATGTAGTTTGTCTTTCAGGTAATCAACCATTTTCTTGTCCCTTCAGAGTGGGAATTACTGTTACCGCATTTTGACTCCAAAACATAGCTTAGCTCCAGTGTTTATATTCTCGGGTTGCTTTGGATTTCAACTGCTTCACTATTTTTCTAGATCAGAATTAGGGATTTTTGGAAAAATGTTGTTTTTAAATATATATAACCGCTTGTCTTAAAGTAGAGCCAGTGTCTTACTATTTAATGTAAAAGCCACAAATTAGCAGAATAGACCCCACATACCACGTTGTAAGTACAAATTTCTCTAATTAATCGTTGGAACTGTAAATACGTACGCCATTTTAAGTATTTCCTTTTATTCTGGGGACTGGTCTCAATTACGTACTTTAAGATAGTGTTGTGAATTGAGAATGAATGTGGTTTAACAATAGTGATTGTTTACCAAAAATATTTTTGTTTTCAATAATATTTGGGTACATCACGCGCCACTGAGAACTCAATTTTATTTTTTTTTTGTTGTATCAAAATGAAATATTATTGAAAACATATTTCCATTTTTGATTACTAAATAGATATTTTTTGCATAAGTTATATTTTTCTTTATAAAAAGATGTATCAAAGCCGATTAATAAAAAGCAATAAAAATTATAATTTAAATTTTAATGTTTTAATCCACCTCACACACTACTACGTTTTTATCTAGAATTATTGATAACTTTACTGGCAGAAACATAAAGAACGGCACTAGGCTCGGGCTTCAGTCTGGTCGCGGTTCTTGGGGTTCAGGCATGAAGAATAAGCTAGTGGATTACTGAAGATAATGAAAAGAGAAGGGAAGTTAATTGGGCGCCATCCTACTTTTAAAGGTACAGAGAAACCTAATGCGTATATGAACGATACAATAAGATAACGAGAAAGATAAGGAACGGTGAGAATAACCACGCAAGAATGAAATAAACCGTGAGAGAAAAGTTATTATGGTTACGCGGTACCCACTTAATATTTCGCCACATATACATTGTTTATATAATAAATCAAATCATAATATCAATCAATAACAATGTCTGAAAGAGATACACCATGCACATGAATAAATATAGATAAAAAATAATATGCTATAATTACAGATAATATTACGGGATAACAGGCATTATAGAATAGAAATATGCTTATTGTCATTGAAAATTGTAAAGTTTTATGGACAAAGCTTATAAACGTTAAAAAAGTAATAATAACAATGAAAATTTACTAAATTACATAAATCGTGTCTGAAACTAAGCATTTCATTTAATACTAAATCACAATCACTGAGAGTGTCTGATTGATCTGCTTGATTTTTCAAACTTTCTATGCATCCTACAACATCATCAAATTGAAATAGTCTGGACTTAACTGCCTCGATTCTGCTGGCCCATTATGTGTTCGACAAAGGCTTCATGGTAAATTTTAATTTATCTTTGACAAATTCCCAGCGTTTGCTGGAACCTGAAAACTGTTTTTCTTCACATCACAAACAATAAATCAATAGTTAAGCACTAGGCTACGTATATATTACTTTATAAGTAGGTATAGTTACAAAACAGTGCGTTTTGAAACAGTGAACCAGTTTTAAATTCCTAAATAGAATGTAACACAAAAAAAATATCACTTACGGACGATTCACATGTCAATCCAATTTACTTACGTATTTATACGCTCTGCTTTGACTGCCAACAGCATGAAAACAAATTCGTCAAAAAGTTGCGGTGTACGGAGAGAGGCTGTTGTTTGACGAACGTAGAATACCCTATTTTGTTTTGGGCGGCGACGTGCAGCCAAAATTATTTGCTAGTGATAGGAACGCAAACGCAATTTTAGGCTAGCGTGACGTGCATTTCAGCGGGAATTGCTAGCGAGCGATAGCGACGTTTGTCTCGGATTTTTCGGAGCGTTCTCCATTGCTTCGGTTTAAGTAATACATAAATCTCCATGGCGTAAGGCCGTGAGCCAGCGGCGCTCGTGGCCTAAAAAAGTGGTGAACACGAGGAAACCTTGCTGGAACCAAAAGGAGTTTTGGTACCTACGTCGCGCCCAAATCTCATTAAAAGTTCGTTTAGGGCTCTAATAACTTGAAAACAGCTTTTTAGGGCACTTATACTAGATACGATTCGTTCTGCTTGCCTGGAGTATTTTAATTCTGAACCTTCGACATTTCATTGAGGGTTTTTTTGGGGATTAAAACACCACGCCTGGTAAAACGGATTTGTTGAGTTTTGATTCAGCCGCCCACTCTGGGTCAGATGCTGATTGCAGTCGATCACTATGGATCAGACACTGCAGTGTTTACTGGTTTGATCCGCCTCAAATATTTCATTTCCTCGGTGCCACCTATATCTAGGCCCCCTAGTAGCATTTCCCTATCCGCCACCTAGGGAGGCGCCCGTGGAGGTCCAACAACCTCTCACGGGATGACAGAGAGAAAGAGAGGACTAAAGTGACATATGTCATAGAAAAAATTGCACAAGCCAAATGGAGATGAGCTGGACATGTAGCACATGTGCTATCATAAATGATAATAGGTGGACCAAAAGACTCATAGAATGGAGACCTAGAGAAGATAAAAGACACTGAGGTAGCCCACCAAAAAGATGGATGGATGACTTGAGAAAAACAGTGGGAAATTCGATACAGATGGCACAAGATAGAAAACAATGGAAGAATCTGGAGGAGACCTATAACCAAAATTGGATGAAAGAGGTTGCGGAATGATGATGGTGATGATACTAGAACCGAGGGAGAAGAGATACTTACAACAAAAAAAGCAGTATTAGATAGATTAATAGAACAGACTTACCTAGTTTTTATAAATTAAGTCAATCCTTCAGTCTTTTAAGGATGCAAATCTATCAATAATATCCTTGTAGAAAAGATGCTTCTGCATAAGTTCATTCAACAGTTCTTTATGAAGTGCGATAACAAACTGATAGTCTATCTTGTGAAATTTTAAAAGTTTTTAACCTTTTTAAGCATGAAAACTTCTTTCTACGGAAATGCTTGTCGATGGAATTGTCAGAATTAAACAAAACAAATTATAGGCTTCTGCAACAATGTCTTTAATTGGTTGTAACTTTATAACCAATTAACCAATATACGAATACTTCACTGTTCCCTATTATAAGTATACTTAGAGTATTATCATTCATCTTTTCCTGGATCATATGACATTCATATAGATAAATTATAAAATGTACATACAGCTCATAACTGACTTTTGTGGAGTATATAATTTGATGCTTTAGCTTTCATACCAAAATCAGTTCTCATTTTTTCTTGATCTGCCTATTACGAACCTATCTTATCTGCAGCAGTGCAGAAAAGCTGCATAGATGTTGTATTGAACCAGATTTCCGAGGTTCTTTAACCAAGATGTTCTTCTTCCTGGACTAAGTTTTCCAACTATTTTTCTTTGCAGAGATGGAATATGCTCTCCTTCAAGCCTCAGTTCTCATAATGTGGTTCTAATATTCTGTTACCTTGGAAACAAGTTCATATTTTATTTGCTAATCTGCCTTATCACAATTATCACAGTAACAAAAACAAGATGTTAGACTAAAGAATGTACACATTTTGAAAATGCTGATCTGAAAAATAAGTCAAACAAATTAGCACAGTTGTGAATTATTTAGATGTATCTCCTTTTATATCCACATTTTAACTTTACGAACTCAATGAAATACTATCAAATATATAAGTAAATTTCTGTACTTTCTCTATAACTTTGATATCCAAAGGCTTATAGTCAAATAAGCCAGAAGACAGTTACTTAATAGATTGATATAAGGTTTAATGCTCAAATAAAAGGCAGATATAGAGCAGTTTTATTAAATAAATCTTTTGCCACGTACTTTCACTTCCTAGAGCATCTTCAGTGGCACTTAGTCAATTGTGGCCTATCCAAATGTAATGTAGCTTCACCTATTTTAAAGCATTTGTCTTTGTGTAGTGTGATGTATAATTTTATGTTTATAAAATTTTATTCTTGTTGGATAGGCCACAATTGACAAAATGTCCCTGAAGATGCTCTAGGAAGCAAAAGTACTTGGGCAAGATTTAATTAATAAAACTGATTGATATCTGCCTTTTATTTTATCAAATTTAATAATTAAGCTAATTTTTCTCTTCTGTTGTACAAATGAAATAAATTTTCAAACATTGAATCTGTTGATTCATTGAAACATGAAATATGATTTTAGGAATATTGTGATGTTAAGGTTTTTAGTAAATTTAAAGTAAAAACAAGTTGGTGTTTTATACATAATTTATTTTATAAACAAAATGGTTTAAACCATCCTTCTGAGAAGTTCATTGATTCTATCTTCTCTATTACCAAAGTCACCTCCTTCAACATAGTGGTTAGTCTTCTTACGCCAGCCACCAGTGGGTGTGTTTAGCTAAAAAGAAAAATGAATACACAATAAATATTTTCTATGAATATTATGTTGTAAAACCATAAAATGAATAAACAAAATACATGAAATCTTTACTACTTATTACCTAAATTTTATACATCTAAAGAAAATGATTTTAAAAAATGTAAAAATCACTTGAAAGTGTCTCAACCAAGAGGGAATGATAGTCAAATAATGGTCAGAATTAGGGAGAAACCTACATAAGAGTTAAAAAAATATAAGAATAAAAAAGGAAGCAAACACTATAATGCGAGGATAAACTTAACTAAACACAAAAAATAATTTTGAACAGCTAGAATTACTATACTTCCTTAAAACAAGTTATTAAGCGGTAAGAAACCTGACAAAACAAAAAGAATCTACTTTTAAGTTCATTCAAATGATCTTAGAGCTTGCACCACTACATTAAGATTGTTAAGACAAAACTTTAGTAGAGACTTACCTTGAAGGGCCACAAGAAGTTGGAGGCATATTTAAACTTAGGTCCAACAGTGAAAATTTCATGGATTAAATCTTCAACACAAATGATACCAGATTTTCCCAATCTGTCTTCAACGATTTGATTGCTTGTAATTGCTACACGTTGTCCATTAACTTTAGCAAATCCTCTTTTGTAAATTAATTCTCTGACTGACTTTAAGTTAGGATATCCCCATGTAATATAAGGTTCGCATATCCTGAGCATGTTAATAGTAGCCTTGTTTAACTTTACAAAAACTCCATTGTTAATTTGCAGTAAGCGGAATAGTTGAAGTACTTTGCGTACTTTAGGTGCTACTTTATTTATACTGAAATAAAAATTAAAAATATGAAAATAATTTATATTTATACATAAGCTAATTCAAAAGTAACACAATTTTTAATTTTACTGTTTTTGTTCATTGAACATTAATTAGATAGAATGTCAGTTGCTTTAGAATATATTTATTTACTCAATAAATATCTTACTAAGACAACAAGGATGATTTCAGACAGCATGGAAAGTGTTAACTTATGTTTACAACCAACACTATGAATCTGTCTAACAAAACATGACTTCTACAAAGAAAATTCACTATTTTGTAATTCTTATATACATATACACAAAGACTTACCCCTTAATACGAACAACAAAAGCCAATTTTGCCTCTGCAGGAACATAGAAATTTCCTCTTGTTTTGGCTTGACGAATTAGCCTAACTTCGTCTCTTTCTTTTAAACGGTATTCCTTAACATACTGTTCGGCTCTTTTAAAAATATCCTTCCTCTTTTTGATCTGTTCTGCCTTCTTTTTAATGACAGACTGGAGTTGTTTTGCACGGGATGCTTCACGTCTTTTACGGTGTTTTAACACAGATTCAGGGACTGCGGGGAGCCCTTTAACCGTTTTAGTTTTGTCAGCTCTAAAAAAACCAAAAAACATTCATATTACCATTCCGTATCAACAATAGTCATGCAACACTAAAAGGTTAGGATTTTTATTAAAAATGAAAATAATACTCATCTATAATAATCGGCAATTACAAATACTTGCAAAATAACATATTTTTAAATAAATTTAAACATTTAATAAACGGATGATTACAGATTTTATTAAAATTTTTATACTTACGTCGGTGCCATTTTGGACTTAACCACAGAAAGAAGATATACACCAAGTTCAGATTGTCAAATGTCAAAATAAAAATTTGTTTAGGCACATTTTCATGTTATCGTAGACGTCACTACTACAGTATTACGGATATTACTACAGTTATTACTTTACTTAAAAACAGAATAATTATCTTAAAAGGCCATAAATGGAGCCCAATACACCAAAATTCTATACAATATAATATACAATTTAATGAAACAAATTTTGATTTTATCATACATGGAATATGGAATAATTGGTAATTCCGAATAAAACGTGCACTTCACTAAAAAATGCCTCTGCACATGGTAAATTTAAGTGAAGTTAGCTAGAATTTAAATGTTTAATGTTAGGTTAGAACAACTATCAAAACAAAGCATGTTTTTTAATTAATATTTTTATTTCTGACTGCTTTATTAAAATGGACTTTAAAAAAGGTTGTATTGAATTAATACGCATTCCAAAACTTATATCTCTTTTTTAGAACTGCTTTTACACCTAAAGAAAGACGATGACTTTACTAAACAAATAGCTTTTGCAAGTGGTGCCTTTAAATCTGCTCAATTACCTGGACATTGTAAGATTACTCTTTTAGAATGGATTTTAAATTTAAATGTACAAGATAAAATTATTTGGCATACAGTTCATGGATGGATTAATTCAAATTATTTTAAAGAACTTACTAGACATGAAATCGACAATAAAGATATTAAATTGATAGTTGAGGTAAGTCAAATGTAACTTAATATATCCAAAACTTACAACAATTATATGATACATTTGTGAGGTCTATACTCCTATATGGTATCAAATTTTGAGTCTATATGGTATCAAAATCAGAAAGAGATATGGTAGGTATTAAATAAGTAGTAAACTATTTCATTTATTGCTTAAAAATTACACATTTTTTGCTATCAAGAAAGGTGATCAAATTGGCAAACAAAAGAAACAATAAACACTTAGTAACTAGTCATCTGTTATTCATGTAAATTGTAAGATTTTAGAAGATAAGTTATGTTTCTAAAATGATCATACAGAGATAATGGATATAAGTATTACTTAAAACAAACCTTATGGACATAAAGCTCAGCAAAAGATGAGAGACAATGTGGCAATTGAAATTGCAAGAAAGTTCAAATAAATAATTATGCAAAAGATTATATCAAAGTGATAGCAACAAGAATGAACAAAGGAGGTAAAAATATAGAAAAATGATGTTAGCTAGCTGGAGTTGAAGAAAACCTTAAAGAATTCTTAAAAAAAAATTAAGTTTTTGTCATGTTTAAATAATTTAAAATTATTTTCACATGTCAAAAATTTTTGGTTTATCTTATTTTTCCTTTAATGATTTTCAATGTATCAACTTTTGTATGTTCCAAAGCTTGATTTTTTTGTTTTTTATTAAGGTCTTTTTTATAAAAATTGTTTTGGTAAATACAGTTTTCTTGGATACTGTTAAATACCTTTTTTCCTTTTAGGTAGTCATTTTGAAGATATCACAGGAGGAAGATTTTTCAAATACAGAAATTATTTCTAACACATTACTGTCACTTTTAAATAACAGATTATTTGAGCAGTACTTTTGCACTGATGTGAAACTCTGCTTGAAATTAATAGACTCAGTTTTATCAAGATTTTCTTGTCCAAACAATTTTGTGAAGTTTTTGAATAAATATATATTTTATAAAAGTCTGTTAGCGACAGAAGGTTTCCTTTACAGTTTTCTACACATAATTTTTCCAACCCTTGTTAAATGTGTAGTGAAATTTAATGACAAACAAGTATTTGATCAAGTTTCTAGAGTTGTCCAAAAAGTAAGTATTTAAATTATGTTTAATTGATGCATTATTTAGTACCTTATGAATATTTTTTATAGTAAATTAGAAGAATAATATATTTTAAACTGTTTTCTCCAAAGGTCCAAATGTGCCTTGGAATTTGTATTTGTTCCAGATAGCTTCTCTTCTGTCTAGAATTAAAGGCTGGTGTCCAGATTCACAAATACTAGGAGTATTTCCTCTACCATTTCTATTTTTTTCTTTATCATGTTCCTTATTATTATCATCTTCAGTATTATCCCTTGGTTTATGGATCATTAGGATCACAAATTTTTCTTTTTTACCACACTTCAAATATATTTAATAGCCATTTTTCCCTTCCGCTACAATGTACTTTACCATCTCCAGATCAAAATGATATCTTTTGCTTGCTTTCTTTGCCTTTATCTTCTTTATTATTTCTTTAAAATCTAAACTAATTCTTAGTAGATTAATATTATCAACATCAACTTCTCATCCATTTATATTCCTCTTTTAGTTCAAATTTTTTTGTGAAATATTTATCCCAAATTGTTAGCATAACATTCATACTGGTATAAACGTTATTTAGTTTATAGTTTAGTGCTCAATGTTTTTTTGTTTTTTTTTTCGTCTTAATGATTTGATTTTGTTCCCAAGCATTTCTGGTATATTTATATGTCAGGGAACTATATTATAGCAAATATTACAATAAAAAAATGCTAGTACAAGTAAATATAATTAGAAAGAAAAAATAAACTGAGAATTCAACAATAATAATAACTTCAGTGCCAGTAACCTATCAATTAATTACTGATGATACACAATTTTGTTACTTTCCTTGTATTTTGAGTTTAATTTCTCTCCAAATATTGGAAAACTTTGCTTATTCACCTTCTGTATCAATTCTTTAACTTTGTCTCTAATTTCATATGTAATTTTTTATTGCTCATTATTTAGTTATTTTTGTACATTTTCTTTGCTTAGTGTTTATCTTAATCTCTGCTTTTATATCTTCCATCTCGTTTCCTTTCTCCTTGTAAAATACCTTTTTGCAGAATTAGTTTTATTCCCATAAAACTTGAAATTAGGATAACAAAACAATTATTGAGTACTGACAATTGTCACAACATTAAGAACATTGTCACAATATTAACAATTATATTTTTATTACTTAATACTACATTCACTGTTACCTATTTTTGAACAAAATCTTGCAAATATCTAGGTTTATTTTTAATTCTTGCCTTCTTATTAGATGTCTCCATTTTTTATTGCTTCAATGCAAGCATATTCTTCTTTTTCAATTGCAGAATGTTTTTTGTTCAGAATCTGTGAGGGTACATGAGAAAAAAGCAACAGATCTTCCAGATTGGCTCAGCAGCAATAGCAAATTCAGATGCATCTGTTTATAATGAAAATTTCTATTTCATCAATTGTCCATAAAAGTGCATTAGGTATGCTAGTTCTCAACTCCTCAAAAGCAAATACCTAAGTCTGGACCTAATGGAAATTTTATGAAGTTTTGGCAAGTCACAGTCCTTGCTAGACATAAAGATTAAGGATGTCTTGGATGTCCACAAAAATAACAAGTCTGGCCAGTTTTTGTTTGAATAGAAGCTGAAGTAGTTTGTTCTAAATTTTGATGACTACACGATGCTATATTATTTAATGCTGTGTTATAAGTATCAGATTGTTTTTGAGAATCTTCTAAAGATCTAGATTTAGATAATGCGTCATCCAAAGACAAAGAACTAAGCTCAAGTAATATTTGACATATATTAGATCTAATGAGACCATTAATAAAAGCATCACGAATATACTCATTTTATTTTCTTCTTAGGAAACTGAGTTAAAATTACAATTTTTAGCCAAAAGCTGTAACTGTTGTGCATACTGATTTACAGATTTGTTTATGTGTTGTTTTCTTGTAGCTAAAATATGTCTTGTATAAATCTCATTTGTAGGTTTAACATACAATTTTTCCAAAAATTTTATAGCTGAAATGTATGTTTTTGCTTTGCTTATATAATCATAGACAGTATGCGAGACAAACTTTATTAAAAACATGTAGTTATCTTTATCTCTTAGTGATTTATCTTTATATTCATTGCTTTCCAAAAAATTCTTTAATGTTTCATACCATTGTTTGAATTCTTTGACAGCAGTTTTTATCTGGTCCAAAGTGCTTCTCCATTATATATTTATACAATAGCAATACAGTTGCATTCTTTTCAATTCTGTTCAGTTAGTTTCTTGTTTCCATTTGTTTCCTGATAGCTATACATATTCTTTCATATTGTTTTTTTTTTCTTTTTTATATCTAGTAATTTTTTGTCTTCATTAATTTATGGTTTGTTACTAATTGTCTGCACATTTATCCTTGTTTATATTTTTCATTAGTTGTTCCATCTCTCTGTGTAAAACTCTGTAGTGGATAATATCGTTGCACTACTTGTTTTTGACACATGTATATTTAACTTTCTTCATATTCTATCATCTCTTCTCCATTTCTGATAATTATCTATTTTCTGTCACCTCCTATATATCCATTGCTTCTATTTTGTCCCTTCATATTATGGAATTCCAAACCTCCATTATAATTAAGTGTGGATTTATTTCTCCCATCCAGTATCAATTGTACCCTTTTTTCTGCCACTCCCAGTATTTTGTACACCATATTTATTCATTTTTTCTACAATTTCCATTTCTTTTTTCCATCAAAATATAGACCCTTTCATATGTTTTCCATTATTTTTATTTTTATGTGAAGGTTAACTACATTATTCACTATTAGTTTCTTGTATGCTTTTATCCTTACGTTTGGTTGTCCCCTTTCCATTCCATTTACTCTCAGCTTCATGGAGCCTACCTTTGTCATATTTCTTCTTCTCCCTCTTGTCTTTGTTTATTTAGCTGATTTTCTAATGCAATTTTTATGATATGCAATATCTGTGCATACTTTTCGCTAAAAATGTATTATCACATTCTTTCCCAGTTCCTTCAAGTTTAAAGCTCAGTTCAAAGTTTTCCTTATATAAATTATTCTAGTCTTTCGTAAATGGTTTACTTTTCTGCTTTTTATGATAAAACTTTTAATAATCATATTATTTTTTTTGTTGCCTCTAATCATTTGATTCTTGCATTGGCTTCCTTCGGTCCTTTCAGTTCCTGAACGTATTTCAGCTCCCTACTTATTTTGATTGTATGTTTTGTTACACGAGTTTCTTGTTAGCTTAATCCTCCCACACACTTCCTCATCTTCTCTAATTCTACTTTTACGAGTTTCTTTTCCACTGCTGTCATATCAGAAATTTGATGTCGTTTTCTTATATGCTCCACCATTGTTCATCCATATATAGCTTTCTTTTTCTCATATTACTCACATTTGCACAATTTTTGCTTTTGTTTCAATTCAATACTTATCCTGGTTTCTGTTATAATCAGTAATTTATTTTTTACTTCCTCTTCTTCTTCTAAATGGCGCTACAACCCTTTGTGAGTCTTGGCCTGCTTAACAATGTTCTTCCGTTCTGCCCTGTCGGATACTTTCCTTCGCCACTGCCTGGTGTTTTAAGATCCCTCTCTACGTCGTCTATCAATCTTTTACGGGACCTTCCTCTTGTTCTGTTTCCTTGGGGCTTCCATCTCTGGACTACTTTTACAGCTCGATTATCTGGCATTCTTTCTAGGTGACCAAGCCAGTGTAGTCTTTGTGACTTTAGAAATCTAACAATATCTGCGCTCTGCATTAGTTCATCCAGCTCGTGGTTCATTTTAATTCTCCACGAACCGTCGCTACATTGGGTTGGTCCAAATATCTTCCTTAGTATTTTGCACTCAAATATTCTCATTTGATTTTCATCTGTGTTGAGAGGGTTTCACACATTTCACATCCATATGTGACCACTGGTCTAATTACTGTTTTGTAAATTCTAAAAATTTATTTTTTACTATTTTACTTATAAATTGAGAAAAAAAACCGAAACTTACGAACTTTCACAAAACAGTTTTTTAGAATTTTACATATAAAATGACATAATATTTATTATTTACTGCCTCATTCCCTTCTAATTCTGCAAAAAAACTATATTTTTAGTGTATATTCTATAATAACCACAAGAAATATGGAAATGCTGTTAACATTTTATTTGAAAATCATCAAGAGGATGAGTCGGGACTGGAAATTTTACTCAAACATTTAATCAAGATTTGTAATTCAAATAAAAAATTCCCAGAGGTTCAATTCAAGCTAATATTTCATGCACTTGCAGTAGCTTATGAAAATGATCCATTGCTGATGTTCAAATTTTTGGTTATTTTACTACGCATAACAGGTAAATTGTTTAGTACCAAAAATACTTATTTGTTATTTTATATTTTGATTATCAACTGTCTATTTTTATAACGTATGTTTGAATGTGCATGATTCCAATTGCGTTTTGACAAAACCATGAAATATACCTTACTTTGCAGATTTAGTATTTTGACCATCTTTCATTTATCAATTTTAGTGCACTTTACTTATTTTTATTTTGTATAATTTCTAATTTTTATTTAGTTAAATGATTTTTTTTTTTAAGGATTTAACTTCAAAGATGTATTGTCGCTCACAGGAGTTCTGTTTGAATCATCAGAGATGGTGGTTACTGAAAGATCGCAGAGAATCTTTCTCGAACTATTGGACGTCTTGGAAGAAACTAAATTGGATCTAAGGTCTAAAATAGAAGAAGTTACTGTAACAGATCTCTTAAAATCTATCATGACTAATTCTATTCTGTGTAATACACCTTCTGCTTTAAATTACCAATTGTTGAAAAAAATCGTAATATTAGATCCAACTCTCACTCAAACATTAACAGAAGAAATACTACAGTATATTTTATTGGCTAATAATGAAGATCAATCTGAGGATTATGAACTTCTCATGCTAGAAATCTTCGACACATTCTCCAAACTACATAGAATCGAGAATTTGGTTTCAAAAATAATATCTGTTTTAAATAATTATTTCGATACTAAAACTGAGGAAAGTTTTGATTTAAAAGTGAAAATGTACTAACCAAGAAGATTTTAGATTCTTTTTCAAGAAATATTGAAAGTTTGGCGAGTTGGCAAGTCATAAATGTTTTTAAAAACATTTTTATTCTCTCTTAAGAAGTTAGTAGGTAACGCAAAGGGATTCCAAAGTGGTAAGTAATTTTGAAAAATGAAAAATAATAACAAAACTTTTTCCATTCCAATAGTATTCTCCCGTTAGTTATCTCTTCGTTTATGCGTTAAGTTTTTAACGAAGGACATTAAATAGTGTTACTTTGGGTAAAATGGTCCTCCAATATATTTCTCATAAGTTTTTTAAAACCGACGCTAAGATTTCTTTAGTATATTCAGTACTACTAGCGCCACCTATGTACGATGATGTGCGAAGCAGAATAGGCTAGTTTTATTATGACCTATAAAAACACATATAATATTGTTAATTTCGTTATCACAAAAGTTTTTTTAGAAAGCTATTTTTTTTTTCGTTTTTTTCATATCTGTTGCAATTTCTCTAATGATCAGAAGTCACTCATAACACTCCTCAGTCCATACATGCAGCATGCTGGACAGTGTTTACTAATTTTTTTACACGGTGACTAATCGGGTTAAGCATCGCCGCGTCCTATAGTGCAGCTTATTGGACTTCCTATTTATCAGTAAAATTTACTCGTTTGCAAAATTTGACTACAACGCCTACTTCATTAGTTTGTTGTTACATGTGGTGAAAACTTGTGAGGTTATGATGGCGTCTCCACAAAATGCAGTAAGTTGTAGTGTTTTTTGTATTTTAATTATTGATTGTTTGTCATTTATGTTATTTGATATTTGGACGTTTTTGTGGTAAATATATATTTGAAAATAATTACAACTGGTCAGGTCAGGACTCCTCTGAAATTTTTGTCCAGCCATTTTGGGGCATTGGGGACTTAGTTAGCAAAATATTTTACCATACTCACGTTGTTTACGTTTGGTTACAGACAGAAAAGGATATTGACAGAACGTGAATTGGAGGATATTTTGGCAGATAGCGATTTTTTCCTCAGTGACGATAGCAATAATGATTGCAGTGAGAAAGAGAATGTTTCTGAAAAACCTTTTCAGATGTTTTTCATGAAAACGAAAATAATGCCCAAAATGATTTAGAAAATGATTCAGATTCGGAGTGGGATTCAGACGATGATACTCCTTTACTGCAGCGTTGGGAGAAAACTCCAGGAAAACGGAACAATTAGATGATGTTAAGAATACTTGCGAGTGAAAAAATTTTTGAAACTCAAGATTTCGACGTCGCTGATCCATGGATAGCTAATGAAGATCACGAATTCTGGACACCCATTGGATTATTTTTCTGAGTATTTTCCTGAGCATTTTTGGGAAAACTTGTCTTCAGCAAGTAACATACGAGCTATGCAAGCAAAACGAAAAGAAAAGCCTAAAGTCAACTCCAGAGGAATTCAAGAAACTAGCAGGTATTCATATTTTGATGGGAATTTTTGGACTACCGCGTTTACGCCTCTATTTCATGAAAAGGAATTGAAATTCCTATTATTACTCAGCTCCCCCGAGATAGAATCTACAAGTTACGAAATTTTTTTACATGTTGTAGACAACTGTGCAGTTTCAGAGGAGACCAAAAGGCAAATAAACTTTGGAAAGTTCAGCCTATTCTTGATGTTGTACGAAGTAAATGTATCACTCTTCAAAGATCTCTCGAGTTGTCAATTGACGAACAAATGATTCCGTTCACTGGGAACCACTAGTCTACGACAGTATGTTCAAGAACAAACCTAATCCTGTAGGTTTGAAGAATTTTGTGCTTGCTTCAAAAACAGGGCTAGTCTTGGATTCAAGACTAGCCCTGTTAAATCGAATAATTGAATTGAATTGAATTGAATAATCGAATTCCACAGAGTACTTAGAAGCAAAATAAAAAAAAGATTCTGCTTTACTAAAGAAGGCCGAGGGTCGCATGAAGAATGGGTACGCGGTGATAAGAAAGTCTCTATTTTGAAATGGATGGACAATAGATCTGTGACAATGGCTTCTACATCTGCAGGTTCTTTGCCTTTGACTGACGTAACGAAGATGGGATAAAAAAATTCAAAGTATATTCTATTGCCTTGTCCAAACACAATTGTTAAATACAACCAGTCAGTGGGAGGCGTGGATTTGTGTGACAGATTTATCTCATATTACAGAATCTGTATGCGCACTAAAAAATGGCCTGTACGTGTCTTTTGGCACTTTATTGATCTTGCATTGACCAATTCATGGATAGAGTATCGTCAGGATAGGGTAGCGTTTGGCGATAAGAGATCCAAGGTAATGGATTTACTGGAATTTAAGCTGTATGTTGGAAGGTCACTAGCTTTAGGTGGTAAGCCTACAAATGGGAGAGAAGCTAGTACGTCTATTTCAAGAAAACCGGAGACATCTGAAGATGAAGAGCCCATAATTCCAGTAAAACGATCTAAAGTTGTCCACTTACCGCCTATGGATGTAAGAAAAACTAGTAATGACCATTTGCCAATATGCTCTGTCGACAATAAAAATTCTTACATGCGTTGCCAAAACCCTGGGTGTACTAAGAAGACTAGATTCTTTTGTGTAAAATGCAAAATGTACTTGTGTATTTCTCCTGAACGAGAATGTTTTTTTCAGTTTTATACTTAAATTATATGTAAGTTAAGTCCTGATGTCCATTATGCTGGACCTGTCATAATTATGTCTGTCAAATAAATTTTTTTAGTTTTTATAGATTTTCGTTTATTTTTTTCACAAATCAAGAGGGAAAATAGAAAATATTGCTAAAATAATAAAAACTCTTTTCTTGGGACTGAGGAGGATAAAAATTCGCTTTTATATTTGAATAGATTTTGAGGTAAAATGCTCCCTCTATATTGAGGCAAAGACCATTTTACCCTTGCTTAGCCTACCAAATAGAGTTTTGAGTTGTACCGGAGCATTTTTTATACTAATCAAATGTTGGTATATCATCTTTACGTCAATGATGGTTACTTGTTCGACAACGACAACGGGACTAAAATACAATGAGACTTGCATTGGAAAAGCTTAATATTGAATTGTTCAATTTATAATTTGCAAACGACATTAAATAATTTTATTTAAAATTTTAGGAAATATTCAGTACTGTTTCCATATGGAATTTCTCAGTGAATTGATAGGAAACTTTATATCTAGTATAAGAGTAGCAGAGCATACGGTGGCCGTAAATGTGGTTGAGAAAACAAAGAAGTGTTTGAGTGAATTAGAAGAAGTACTTAAAACTTTCGGAAACGGCCTTTTGAACAGAAAACATGTAAGTTTACTAAATGTAGCATGAACATTTGTTTTATTATCTTGCAACCACTTTTGTGTTATTAGATGTTTGCTTTGCAAATTATAAACTAGATGTCATTAATTTATTCGTATAATATTAAATTCCTTCTCGTAAAATCAAGGAGCCAGGAGGAGGTGGCGAATGTTTTACCACATGTGCAGCTTTTTAATTCATTTTTGTTACTTATATATTATGGATAGCTAGTCCTTGTCGGTGAAACCGAGCTCACCAGTACACCACGCAGGACAGACTGGGTAAAAATTATGATCCTGGACAGGGGGCGTCCCAATGGCTAATAGGAAACGTCCTATGAGACATAAGACAACTGCGAATAAGGTATGACCAAACAAACACCCGCGGATTAGTTGAGAACATGACATTGACATTGGACTGTAGCTTTGCCATTAACTGTATATTGAATGAACATACTCACTAAAACATGCGCATTTACACAATCAGCAAATTACCAGACATATATACCACAACTGACTCATCATAAGGGGGATTTGTTCTGTGACTACCGTACTTTCCAATCCCGATCTGTATTACCATCATGCCCAGAGGAAGCATGGCAAAGGTGTACAAATGTTGCATAAGCGATGTTCCAGAGAGTTGGAAAACTCTGGGGAATTATAGCCTTGGCATGGTATGGGTTCACTGTCGTAACTGACAGCATGTTTTTTCGACTCGAAAGATTAAACTGGATATGCGCAAAAAGAGAACGCCACTCTTCTGAGTCCACGAAGGCCAGTCTTCTGAGTTCACGAAGGCCATCTTCTGAGTCCAATTGCAGAGTGTCTCTGCTCCAAATACGTCTCAATGATCCCAATCAGCGTCCTAGCAGCACAGTAAGGTCTTTTGTTCATATTAAGACATTCTAAAAAAATTAAACTAAATTAGTTTATTAAATAACAAATTTGGGAATTTAGTTACATATAGGTGTCAAGTCACCCCCTTTTTTAATATCCTGGATGAAATATCTCATGAAGAACCCTTAATTCTTAGGGTGATTTTAATGCAAGAATCGGAAATAAAATAGTTTCAGGAGTAAAACAAAGATTTAATGAAAACCATGTCAACGCAAATGGAGAACTCATGGCTAATCTCTATGCTTTTAATGAACTGAGAATCAATAATACATTTTTAGATCATAAGCTCCAGTATAAATATACATTTGAAAACTTCAGGGGTATAAATCTATGATTGATTTTATAGTCACTAATAGAAAAATCCTCCCAACGCAAATTCTAGATATCCCAACTTTAAACTCAGCAAACGCAAGACTGTTTAAGACTAGAATATAGATATATAGAATATACCATGTAGCTTCGCCGATCTTCAAAATTTTAAAGTGTTTGTTTGTCTTTGTGTAGTGTATTGTTATGTCACATTTTATATTTATGACATTCTGCTCTTGTCGGATAGGCCAAAACTGACGAAATGCCTCTGAGGATGATCTAGTGATCGAAACTACTTGGGCAAAATTTAATTAATACTGTGTTCGATATTTGCCTTGTATATCATCAAAGTTCATTTATTCGAGCATTAAACCTTATATTGAAATAACTAATTATTAATTTAATTGGTTTTGTTTATACAATCCTTTGTATTAAAGAAAGTCCTGTAAAGCACGATAAAGAGATAACAGATATATAGATGGCTGGATAAGGTCTAAAGGTATAAAATTCTTCGTTCAACTTCTCATAGTCTGCTGTACTTTTAGGTTTCTCCGTTATCGATTAATATCCCATAACTATCAGAACCTTTACAACTTGCTATTCCCACGTTATTTTAAACCTTTCTTTATGTAGATTGAAGGTTGGTGTCCAATTATCTATAATCTTTGCGTCTGCTTCTCTTTTATCTTTATATACGTTTTAATGCTATATCTTGTTTGTATTCAACCATTTTAATAGAGTCTTTTTTCTCTTTATTACACACATTTTTCATTAAACTTTATTTTATCTCTTCTATATCCCTTTCTATTCCCTTGTTTTCTGGATCCTTATAATAACGTTTTAATTTGTTAATTTTTCAACATATTATTTTATGATTCCAATGCCTTGGTCCTTCCATCATCGTTATGAATTATACTTATTATTCGTATTATAGATCATAAGGTGCATTTTTGCACCATTGCCGTCAAAGCCAGAGACCTACCTGCTAAAAAAAACCTCCGCATCCATGAATTACCGCCTGAAAGACCGCCCTGATTGGATAAAGATAACTAGGTCCAGAGTTAATCCATTCCATAAGCATTTTGACAACTAGCGTCCGTTGTCGGAGAACCCCACTCCACTGCCTTTACGTTGAAGTCCCCCAGCACTACACTCTCTCTTCCTAATAATATTACCTCATTCATAATCTCAGAAAGTATACTTTCATAATTCTTCGCTGTAGAATTCGGTACCACATTTACTACCTCCAAGAAAAAATTACCTACAATTTAGGCTTGACTCAACATCAAACACGTACAATACGTCACAACTTCACTTGAAAATTCCAGATCGCCTGTAAACCTGATTCGGAGGAGTGACTTACTTCTGGATTTCTTGACTGTTTATCAGAATTTTCTGGGATTTATTAATTACCTATGTAAAGACTGGTTACTGGGTTGGAATTTTTAGTTTCTACACAATATTTTGTAAAATATCATAACAATTGTACAACATATAAATAAATAAGTGAAATACTTCGAACCGACAGTTTAATTCTCGTTATAATATTAAAGAAAGTCCTATAAAATACGATAAAGAGATGATACTTTATTCAATTTGACACGTACAATTAAATTTTTCAGGAAAGTTCTTTAATATGTTATTATTGTTTTCAGAACTGCAGCTTGATGAGATCATTTTTGAACATAGCATATCATTGGGCCGAAGTAACACTTGTTTTAAAATATTACTCTTTTAACCAAGATGACAATGAAGTAAAATCGGTAGCAGATTATAATTTTGCTGCTTGTAATATTACATACGTTCATCCTTATCTAACCGTGGACGAATGGTGCTTAATATCAGAAAGAATTAGCAATTTTGGAGAACTATCGTGTAAACAATTATTAGTAAGTATTAAAATATATTGTCCATACGTTAAACACTGTATACTTATGCTATAGTTTCTAAAAACTTGACCCTAAATATCGAAATTACCGATATTACGAAAAAAATTTAAGTCACTATTGCTATTTTTTTTGTGTACATGTTACAATACAGTTCATAGTTGTATAGTATGTGTAAGAGTTTCTGTTCCATGTCAAAGTTTCACGTCAAAAAGTCAAACCAAACACTGGCGCAGTATTTCTGTACTATGCAACACATAATACTGAAACACTGTGCTATGACACTTTATTGTGCTGATGTCAGTGTGTCAGTGTCATTGTATCAACACTTGACACAACACTCGACACACATGACTAAATTGTAGTACCCGAAACTAGTCGACCAAGTTATTATAAAGCCAATTGTGAGTCTTTCTTTTTTTTATTTTTATACATCTTAAAAAGGGCTCAAATTTGCAAACAATTCATCATTTTAATATAAATGCTATTAACTGTAATTCAGAAAACGTTTTTCTTTTTCAGTACAAATTATTCATTCAAAAAGTGCGTGCCTTGTACATATTTGAACAAAAAGTGAATGAAGAAATTTTGCAAGATCTGTCGAGGTACATAAGTAGGGATTTAGAAGAAAATTGGAAATACATATTAAAAAACAAATTCTTAACCAACAATTTAGTACCACTAATGGATTTTTCCTCAATCAACTTAATAGCTGACAAATTGGTAGCCAACATGACGGATTTGGATGATATACAACTAAACCAGCACATTTTTAATAATTCTTGTGTTTTAAATGCCGTTGTTTATTCTATAATAGTTAAATGTGATAAAATTATTTCGAAAAGGAAAAGGAAACACGATGAAGATTTGGTTGATACAAAGAAATTAAGCACAAAAGTAAGTAATATGGTAACAGCAGATACATTTTGTAATGATGACAATAACGAAGATTTAATAAAAAAACTCAAGAAAGTATACGAGTCCTACAAGGTGGATCACAATGTAGAAATAAAGTTTAATGAAGCGAAACTATTAGAGCTATTTGAGGTACTAATAAAGTTCCCTGTCGTATTTTGCAAAGAATCCGCCCAGAAATGTTTTCTGTTATACTTATTTTCTTTACACAAGGATTTGCGTCAAGATTTTTCCGAAGGACATTATGCAGATGTACAAAGTCGTTTAGAGACTATTATATTAGGTAAGTCATTAAATATTTTAGAAAATTTACGTTACAATTCAAACATTTGATGAAAAGCATTTTTTGTTTTGGCATTCTAAAAAAGTAGGTATCCTGGTCCTTATATGACCAAGATTTATGTACAATAGTTAAATTTTATAAAATGAAACGTACGATATAGTTTGACATTAACCTAATCTTCGACAGATGGCGTTACATGAGAACGAATGAAAACGAATAGGCCTTTTCATCACATTTTTTTGGCGCATGCAACAGCTTCAGCCATTTTTTTCGTACTGTTTTTTGTAAACAAACGTGTTAAAGTATCTGTGAACACATAAAAACTTTAAAAAATACTAAAGAAAGTGTAGTTATTGAAAAAAAAACAAATACGAATATAAAGAAGAAAATGCCTCAATTAGCAAATAATTTTTGGTAATCGATTATTATTTATGATATCTATTCGAAAAGAAACAAGGAAGCGGTGTCGTTTTGGAATATATATGAGTCATAGACATATATAAGCTAGACTCAGCAAGTCGGCAGTTTCCAATATCAACAAGATCTCTGTCAACTAAGTTTCTCTATTTTTCTCTAGGTCTTTATTTTATTTTACCCTCTTTCTCGTACTGACAAACCCTGTCTCACCTTCCGTACAAAAAGAAAGAGACAGAAAAAAAGTTTAAGAAAGATGGCTCCTTCACTTTGTCTGATGAAATGCATAATTTATAAATATATGTCTATGGTACGAGTAATAAACACGAAACCATTTAGACATAATATATATTACTTCATAAACTTTTTAATTCATTTCGGCCCTGAAAAATGAATACAATATTTTATTGGTATTAAAAACTAGTAAAATAATATTGTTGTCAATTAATATATTTCATCAAGTAATGAAAATCGATTAACTTCATTAATTAGAATAAAAATTTTTTGATATTATTTGTAATAAACAAATAATGATGCCTATCCTCTCAATCAGCTCACTTCTTTTTCCTTTTTAATTGCCTATAATTATGAGCTTCCATTTTTTTAATGATTGATATAATAATTGTGGAGATAATGAGATTCAAATGTGCATTCCCAGCCATGGTTTATCCAAACAGTACGAAACTATGGAATTACCGCTATTTCAACATGGCAGCTGCGCTTGCGCTCATCACATAATGAAAAGACATACTCACGCTTTTGACATCTGTCATCCAACGCATGACGTCTGATAAAATTTTAAGTGAAATGTGAAACGTCGAATATCCTTAATGAAGTAACTTCAAATGAAAGGGAAAAGCAATGCACAATACAAAGCCGAATTGGATACTGTTAATGACGAGTCTATGTTTTCTTATTCATTGTCGCAATAGTGTGGCATTTTGACTTCTGTCATTTTTAACGGTGGAATTTACTGTCTTTGATAAAATATATTCTGTTGGATTTACCAACTACATTCTTTTTAACTGACTAGAGATCTCGGACCATGTATCCCAGTCTGCCACGTAAACATCGACGGCGTAAGAAAATCAAGATGACAAGTGTTGCAGAAATTTTCTACACGTTAGGACATTGATTTGGTAGCCATACAAGAGACTCATGCAATGAAAACAATAAACACGAGGTGGTCATCAAAATCCAATGGATTACCGTGGTTAACATATATAAACCCCCAGCCACTAAATGGAAACCAGAATAGATAAAGACTCATCCACACCCTACTATATACATCGGCAGCCTCACGAAATGTGTAAATATATCACAAATGATGAAAATGGGGAGGAACTGGTCGAATGGTCCGAATAGCAAAACACATATCTAGTTTTTGATATGTCAAATACAGAGGGACATTTAAATCAGCTGCATGGAGAAATAAATATAACTCAGATCTATGCTTTGTGACAAAAAACTGATAAACCACTAAAAGCTGCCGGAAGTCTCCTTGTAGAGTTTACACATATTCAACATCGTCTTGTGCTTATCACCATTTACATATTAATTATAATAATCATATCATAGCCTCGACCTAGGTGGAATCTTAGAAAATCGATTTCGAAGAAGTTATCTGAAGAACTAGACTACATCTTGAGCTGGAACCCACTAACCAGAAAAAATTACGAGATGTGGGTGCAGAATAATCGTTCCAAAGTATTCACCCCTAGACGGTTTCGCACAGAATATGGACTCGGGTGGACTGATAAATGCAAAGTCATATACGCGCAGTTGCTCGAAAGTGGTGACTGAAAAATAACCGATAAGCTCTTACACAATATCAATGTAGCTAGTCGTCAAAAATGGATGGATATTGTCGAAAACCTTGAACTTATCAAGAATTTGTATTTGTGAAATCACACAAGCGCTAAAAGAAATAAAATTAGATGAAGCACCTGGGTTTGATGATATCTATCCTAAGTTTCTGATACACAGTGATGTATACACAAATCACTGGCTTACAATGTTCTATACTGCTATACTTCACTCGGGCAACATTTCATCCTTAAGCGAGCAAAGATCATTTCAATTCCAAAACCGGGCAAACCAAATGATTAGTTAATAAACTTCCGGCCCTTAGATCTCAAGCATAGTATATAAACTTAGAAAAGATTCTCCTTAATAGAATTAGTCGCAGGATACTTGAAAATGTCCCCACTGAACAAGCAGGCTTTCGCCCTCATCGAAACTGTACAAACCAAGTCTTTTCACTAACAACTTTTATAGAAGCTAGTTTTAAAAAGAAACAAAAAATAGCCGCAGCATTCATAGATTTTACAGCAGCATACGATACTGTTTGGAGACGGGGATTAATATATAAAGTGGCTCGTGTTATCTTCGGCAGAAAAATAATCAACCTCATCGATAACATGCTGATAAACATAACCTTTCAGATAATAATGGGAAAGAATATAAGCAAACAGAGGAAACTTAATGATGGGTTCTGTGCTTGTGCCTTTACTTTTTATCCTCTATATTAGTTTGGATATGCTGACGTTAGGACCCTTGCAATAAGCCACAGTTCCTTAAAAACTGACGACAACGCTCTCATGACTGATACTAGACAGAACGCTCACATTCAGAGAAACTCTGCGGTACTACATGGAGGTCTACAGCAAGATCCTCCGATGATAAGCACCAAGATGGAGAGAGGAGTGGGAAAGTAAAATAGACTAGCATTACCGCAGTTTACTGGATATCACAGATAAACCTGTCAGATTTTAACGTCCCCACAAGATTTGGGCGGAGCGTCCCCTTAATCAGATCAAAACAAACTGATGATGATGCGCCGACTTCCTCTACAGATGGGGTTAACATACGATCAAGCTCAGAGTAAAATACTACCCATGCAGAGTATACACATGTGAACTTAAATAATTTATATAATGTATGAATGTAAATTGAATTATCATACCATACCCTAAATAAATAAAGCATTTTGAAAATAATTTCCATCCTACGAGCCAAAATGTCAAATAAACAAAAAGGATTTATTATTGTAGACTATTCCCAATGGGATGTGTTCTTCTTTGGGTGCAGTAGGCTATGCAGCGTCTAGGGTTTCATGCTGGTTGGATTATGTGTAAGGATCCTTCTGCTGCTCTTCTGATTATTGTACTGATATCAGGTATGCCGCACTAGTTTCTTATGTCTCTGAACCATGAATGTTGCTTTCGGTCACTACCTCTTCGACCCTTCAACTTTATCCATCAAGATGACATTCAGGAAATTATATTTGTTATTTCATAGAATATGGCCCAAGAATGAAACCTTTCGCTGCTTAAAGAGATATAACAATCCTCTTTGGACATGTGGAGCTGTTCTTAGGATCTCATCATCTGTTAGGTGGTTCACCGATGTAAGTCTAATGAAAATTTGAGGCACCATTTATTTGAAAGGCTTTACACGATTAAGAGATCTCAATTTTAAGTGACCAGGTCTGACTTCCGTACACATGGATGGGTCAAATGTAGCATTTCAAGACCCGGATTCTAAGGGAAAAGAAATTTTGCTTATTTAAGAGGACAATAAAACCTAATACGCACAAGGAAATAGTTTGAGATTGACAAAATCTTATTTTGATTATTCCTCTTTATTTTTTTTTTAAATAATGTTTGGAAACTGATAACAAATAAAGACTTGATATAAGGTTCAATGCTCGAATAAATGAACTTTGATCAATTAAAAGGCAGATATCGAGCACAGTTTTATTAATTTCAAGGGCAAGATTAAATTAATAAAACTGTGCTCAATATCTGCCTTTTATTTGATCAAAAAACAAAGAATTAGCAAAAACTGAAAACAGTCGCTTATGTTTAGCAGTGTACTCTTCAATAACGAAATTAAACCTGCATATTAACACTCATAAATACTCCATATTTTCAATATTGCTTTAGTGTTGTGTTAACGCTTGCCCCTTATACGACTAAGCTTAAGTGCCCCCTTAAGTGAAAATATTTGAGACATGGTATTGCTGATGTATACTGGAAGAAAAATAAAGATACTGTAAGGTACGACTTTAGGGAACTGGAACAGGAAAGGAGACCACCAACATTTTCTAAAATCACTACAGCTACAAAATTTAAAATCAGTTCAATCCTCTTAATAGTAGTCGATCAAATAAAGTAGGTTAAAATATGTTCTATAGTGAGCATTTTTTATAGACCAAATTATATTTACATAAAGAAAACGCTTTTTTCTATTTATATATTCAGGTATAAATAGAATTTCGCACAAAATTACTAATTAATACTTATTTTTAGGTATGCTGCAACAGCATAAATTTAGGTTAGATGACATTTTTAATATGGAAACCATATGTCAAGAAATAATGACAAGCTTTAATGAATGGAGGGATATTTTCGTTCTAATTATAGAAAGCATTTTTAAAAATAAGGATGCCATAGCGAATTATGAATCATTGATTTCGCATATTGCCGATAAATTACACATTCCGACGTATATGCATTGTGGGATCATTATTTTAAATACTCTTAATAAGGTAACAGTCTTTTTAAAGAAGATTAATTATAATGTTAAGTATTTATTATGTTAATGACAGTATTTGCAAAGCAAATATTGTGATTATTATCTACATTACAACGTGTAAGCCTTTTTTGAAGTGAATACTTTTTATCGCTCATCAATCATATTTAGCGTAATTCGAAAAATCGAGACATTTGCAGTAGCCTTACGGTATACAGTGATATACATAATATACATACATATTAACGTTAACGTTTAACAAAGTCATTTTTTATAACGTTTTTATAACAATTCGAGAACGACTGGATCAATTTGGCTAATTTTGATTTTGAAAAAATTTTAAAAATTAAATCAAATTAAATGAAATTATCTAAATAAAATAATTAAAATTAGATAAAATTCAATAGAATTAGATAAAATTCAATCAAATTAAAAAAAAATAAAGCAGAAGGGCGTTTGGGACTTAATTTCAATGCAAGATCACTTCCATCCGCTTATACATATTCCGAACTTCTTAGGCCTCCTCAGAGCGACATATGGTCAAGCTCTGGATTGAACATAAATTTCTCCCATCATAAAAGGATAATTATAAAAATAATTATATAGGACGTTACAACGTCATCTAATAACAAAATTAGTAGAAATCCGAAGATTTCTTACTTGGCGAAACTATAATGCGAATATTTGCCTTATTTATTATTTCTCGTAAAAATATCATAGGTTTCCTAATATCTACAGATAAAATTTGCTATGCTCTTCTAAAAACATCACAAGTCCGCTCTGTAGATAATATCTGCCTTGCCAAAAGTACTAGAAAACGGTGTGACCAAATGTTCGCCCGTAATTCGAGTTTCCACTGTCCTTTGTCGTTTCTAGCGTCAAATAATTTGCTGAGTATTTTACGTTCGAATATTCCCAAAAGTCGTTCATTCTTATGCGATATAGTCCATGTTTCTGCCCCATATGTGAGGACCGGCATCGGTAGTGTTTTATATATAATAATTTTAGTTCTTTGGATGTTACTCTACAACATACTCCTATCAACAAATATTTTTCATTACCATACTTCAGAGATATCACTCGGGGGTTAACAAGGATTCTGAAAAGTCTTGAAAATAGCTTTTGTAATAATAACAACATTAAACTTAATGTGGCTTGTTGATCAGCCGTAACAATTAATAATCTTTATTCTAAGATCAAAGATAAGACTTCTATAGATATGCTTAGTAACATTGTCTATAACATTCCATGCCTCTCTTGCAACAATTCCAACATCTCAATTATTGAAATCACGTATCCGACTACACAAAAGTGATTCTTGACTTTACCCTAACCGCTGTGCATTAGCTAAACATGTCCATTCCACTGGTCATCTCATGGATTATACAAACACTGCAATTCTTCACCGTGAGAACAAGAAATCTATAAGAGAGTTCATTGAAATGTCATATATTTTCCTTAACTAATTTGATTTCTCCATCAATGTTAAGAGTGATATTAAGAATCTAAGCGATATATATCACTTCTTACTTAAATCAGATACCAAGAACAATGCAACATCACACATAACTAACTTGACTGATATATCCATTAACAACTAACCTACTTATATAATAATTTTCATTAATTAAAAAAAAGATATCATTTCCTTGCTTTTCTTAGATACATCTCAATAAGATATTATAATAATAATACATGAACAATATAATATAATAAAAATTTTCAATTAAGAAAAATCTAAAATAATAATATTACCCTAAAATGGGATTTAATTTCATTCTGTTATACCAATGAACGTTAACGACATAAAGAATCCTAAGAACTACTTTGACTTGTTAGCGCATGCGTTCTTATAAAACAGAACCTCACATTTAAACTTGCTAACAATCAAAAATTTAGTTATTGCCGACAAATTTACGTTTCAAGTTCAAAGCTACCATACATTTCCAACGATAATTTTTTTCACATAGTAACAAAAAAACCACTATGTTGTTACTAGCTAAATTTTTTTTAACATCCTAACTCTACAATTCTAGGTTACGGTAAGATCTCCAGTGTTTTTTTAAATAGGTAATATATGGTATCTAATTATAATTCCTTCTCTTTCACTCCTGAAAAAGCCAAATTAATTCTCTTTGGTGAAAACGTTCGGCGAAACAATTGATACTCTAGCTAGAGTCTTTCTTGATTGCGTTGAGCAAGGTTTAAAAAAAGATATTATTTCAGAACAAAAATCAAAAAATCTCCCCAGCTTTTAAATTACCCATAATTAAAAATTAGTTTATATATGTTGTCCATATTCAGGCTTAATTTAATAAAATGTATTATTTTAGTACAAAAAAGTAAAAGCCACAAAGGAAGCAAAGGATGTAGCGGACAATTACAAACTTATACTTTGCAATAAGATGTACGATCTCGTTGTGACAAACGATCCTCAAGATTACCTAATACCTGCATACGCCTATACGTTAAAAACGTTTTTGGTGCAGAATGAAAAAGAAAAGATATCTAAGTTAGTTAGTATTTTGGAACCTTACACGAGCTTCGTTCTTCAGCGGCACGAAGAGTACGACAAGAACGGCTATTTGCAGCTTTTTAATATTGTATTACACAACAAAACGAAACTAAGTAATGCCAGCGAGGATCTTCCAATGCAGATCTGGAAAGTATGTAAAAACAATTGTAAAGTTTATTTTAGAAATGAGGAGTATTCTCAATTGATAATGCTGATAGTTGGTTACGTTTCTAACGACGATTTTTGTACCATGACTCAAGATCTTCTAGGAATATCGGTAAGTATGTCATTTTTTCTTAACATCCACTTTGTTTTTTTCGTCAACAATTCCTAAATATGTAGCACAAAAAACTGTTGTGTAAAAAGCTCTCTTACTCATTACAAATTTTCTATTCTAGACCATCTAGAGTCACAATCTCTTTTATTAAAGATTTGTGTAATTTTTATTTATTTTGGTGGTGTCGAGAGAAGATAATGTGTGTCTATTTTGATCTGCCACACTTTGTATTTTTTATACTTTTTTATTTTGTAATTCTTGTACTTTTACCTAAGAGAAAAACGCCAGAAATAGCTATTACCATACATTTATTTCTCAAGCGTTTCTGGATTCCGTATGGTGTTTTGTTGTTTCCTTCTTCAATCTTATGAAGTTCCTTATTTAGTAGTTTGAAGAAACGAAACAACAAAACACCATAAGCAATCCAGAAATGCCCACAAGAAGGGATTTAAACATGACATCGGAAATAAGTACAACATTACAACATTCAAAAAAACCAATACACTGAGATCTATCCTGTCCAAAACCAAACCTAACCACACACAAGAGAGATCAAATAATTACGTATATAAAAGACCCTATGAATGCAACAATTTTTATGTGGGAGAAGCCTCAAGACCACTAAGTGTCATAAACGAGTATGAAACATACATCGATAACAGAGACTTCAACAAATCACAGATATACAAACATGTCTGGGACAATGAGCACAGAGTACAATGGAAAGATGCATCAATAGTCAAGACAGAAACAGGCATAAAACGGAGAAAAATCAAAGAACTAGTAGAATGTAGCAAGCTCAGGTAGCCAATACAAAAACAAGAAGTCAGCAACAAGAACATACCCACATTAGCGGATTAACAGGAAGCCAGAAACATATCATCTACATCAATTATTATACATAACACATACATCATCTACAATAATTATACATAATATGTATACAACACATATTACATTAACATATAATACAAGAACAGATAATGCATAAACACATATATCTATATAAAAGGCAGGTAAAGGCCTTTGATGACAGGTCACACTCTAAGTCCAGTAAACCAACGGCGCCATCTAGGAAATAAATATGAACTACCATATTTCAATCATATTTTGTTCTTGAAACGATACGCTTAATTAATAATACTGAATTAGTTACATATTAATATAATTAATAATTAATTTTAATAATATTTTTAAGGTAGAATTTAAGGTCAAAGAAATCTGAATTAATTTTTTTTTTCAAAAATTGCTAAAAATATAGGTTACTACTGTAATTGTAAGGTAAGATCAATGGCGTTTAATATATATTTATTATATGTCATTGGGTAAGATAAACATGCATTTACTATAAAAATAAAATAAAAACTAAACACATATAATACACATAAAATATGATTGAATATGGTAGTTCGTATTTCTTTACTAGATGGCGTCATTGCATTATTGGATAACCTGTAATGTAACGTGTGACCTGTCATCATAGCCTTTTATACAGATAACGACATTGTTTTGTTGACCATAGGAATTAAGATTTATTGTAATCCCATCTCTAGAGTATATTTATTATAATGCTCTAAAACTAATCTTTTGATTAATTTTTAGCGTTAATAGCAATATAAATAAATAATAAGTAAATAAGTGATATACTTTATTGTTACTGAAAATTGTACAAATTTTATGGACAAAGCTTATAACAATTAGACAAGAAAGAAGAAAAAATCAGAATAAGAATCGTTTGTACTTATAAAATTCTTCCAAACTTAAAATAAAAAATACTACCTAATTAAGAACCTACAAACTTCGTAAAATGTACCTTACAAAAAATAAAAATTAGGAAAGCAGATTAATGAATATTAATAGCTCAAATATTCCACCTGCTTGTGCTAAACAGTAATCAAATATCTCATACAGATTTCTCCTCATAATTTGGAGTAGGGCTGGTATAATGCTTGCAGAGAAATGAAGTATTTTGCCCTTAATTCGACTAGGTTTGTGGCCCTTTCAAACTAAAGCCTATAAATGTTTTCTTTGAGAAAACCTCAAAAAAAAAGAAATCGTTTTAAAATACGGAAGGACATAATTAGGTCACCTCGAAGACGTCGCTGCTCGAATGTCGTTAGATGAGCCATGAATAGTGTATCTTCATAGTTAGGTCTTACACGGCCGTATGCCAGTCTTGTGGCTTTACGCTGAACGTTTTCAAGTAGGATTTTATCGCGACTAAGATCTGGATTCCACACTGGTCCGGCAAACTCAAGAATAGGTCTAACGTATATTTAGTAAAGTTTACTAACAGAGGTTAGAGATATGCGTGCAAAACATTTACGGATCAAAAACAGTTTCGAGTTAGCACGTTTACACACCGACACTATGTGATCAGACCAATTTAAGTCACTATTAATTATCACTCCGAGATCGTTGTGTGAGGTTACAGAGTTTAAAGGATGTCCATTAATAAAGTACGGCAGTGATGGGTTATTTTTGCCGATATTGTTTAGTTGCCGGGTAAAACAACGCATTTTTCAATGTTAAGCGGAAGTAACCATTCTGAGGACCATTTGAATATTGCGTCAATATCTTGTTGAAGAATATGTTGGTTAATAGTTGGATTCACATATAACTTCGTGTCATCAGCGTAAATGGAAACCTTACTGGATACAATGAGCGGAAGATCACTAGTGTAGACACAAAAAAGTAGCGGTCCAAGTACTGATCCTTGTGGAACTCCACTCTTGACTGGCTTATCTAGTGAATGGTCTTCCCCAACACGAACCCTGAAGTATCTGTCGGATAGAAAATCTTGTATCCAAATGTTTAACTTTCCGCGGATACCATAGTGATCCAATTTAGCTAGTAATCGACGTTTTGGAACACGATCGAAAGCTTTGGAGAAGTCTAAGTAAACTACATCGACAGGATTCCGATTGTTTAAAGATAATGACCAATCATTTACACAATGAAGTAAGTTTGTGATCGTTGAACGACCTTTGATAAATCCATGCTGTTGGTGAGGGATGACATTTTCTTGAAGAAGGAACTCGGACATAGCTTCCGAAATAATCGATTCCATGACCTTGCCGACAATAGGAACCAGGCTGATTGGACGATAATTATTGCAATCAAGTTTATTACCTTTCTTGAATACAGGAGTAACAGAAGCCAATTTCCAGGACGAGGGGAGGACACCTTGATTAAAAGAAGCAGTCATTATAAGAGATATAGGGATGGCGACATAATCTGCACATTGTTTGAGGAAAAAAGAGGTGAGTCCGTCTAATCCAGGTGATGAATTATTTCGCAGTTTCCTTAAATGATGTTTAATTTCATCCGGTGTGAAAGATATATTTTCAAGAGTTTTAGACAAACGATGGCACATTATTTGAGGAATGGTATCGTTAGATTCATCTGTAAAAACTTGAGAAAAGAATAACGATAAACATTCCGAAGATTCGTTATTCGAAGAACATAAAGACCCATCAGCTTTTTGAAGCAATGGTATGGAAACTTTAGAAGATAAAGATGTACGAATGTACCGATAAACTTTTTTACTATTACCACTTGCAATGATAGATTCTTCAAATTCTGTTCTTAACTTTAGCAAAGATTGTTTGACTCGGTTAGAAAAATTACGGTGGGCGAAAAAATCATCAGGGGAACTAGTGACTTTATATCTTCGCCAAAGCTTTCGCTTATGTCGAATTAAATGAGTAGCTGAGAGGTTAATCCAAGGTTTTAGTCGATTTCTATATACCTGCCGTTCGGTTGTATGATCAGAAATTGTTGTAATAGCAGTATGAAGAAAAGAGTCCCACATTGACGATGGATCAGAGTGATTAGAAAAATAGATTGCCTGGGATAAAACTGAATTTACATCAATGAAATTAGTAGTGGCATACGTTACGAAATTATTTTTGCAAGGCGGTGTTAAACTAAATTGAATGTGACAGTAGTTATGTATATTTTTGCATATTCGCATTGCATTCGCATTCGCAAAATTTGTGCGAATGTTTTGCGAATATTACACAGCTTGCATTTAGCTCGTTTAGTATCGAAAAGTGGTGAAAAATAAGTCCATATTTCACTATAATTTGATTTACTCATAGTAATAAATCGCTAATCACACTTTAACTAAAAATTCACTTGTATTTGTGCACGAGCAGAGCAGGGCAAGTGGAGTGACTTGTGTCCCGTGAAATTTTTATTGGAACTATAACCAGAGAACTTAGTTCTCTGCTATAACTTTCTCTCTATAACAAGTCAAATTTGATTATAACAAGAGAAAATAAGATCGAAAAACGTGCTTTCTACGTTTTTGGCCCGGACGTGACTATAAATAAATACCTTTTTAAACGACCCCTCAATAAACTTAACCGCCTACAATAAACTTCTTTACAATAAATACAACTGTTTCACATCTTTACTTTAGCAAATATGATAGAATGATACTGGACAATTTAAAGTAGTTAAAAATGACAGACTTTTTCCAATTGCCTACACACCTCGCGCAAATGAGACTGCCGGCAGTGCCGGATACAATTAAAATTGCCAAATTAAAAAAAAACTGAATATTCGCATTCGCAATTCGCGAATGTCGGTGGCATATATTCGCATTCACGAATGTTTAAAAAATGACATTTGTTACATCACTAGTGAGCAGTAATAAGCGAATGTGAGCAGTAATAAGCGAAGAATTTATACCACCCTAAAGTATTGCTGATACGTTATATAAATATTGTTTTAGCGAATTAGGTATTGATAATTTCCAACGAGCATAACATGTACTGAATTTTAGGAAAATCTAATTAAAAAGAGTAAACACCAACAACTTACAAATTTGTTGAAGACCTGGGAGTCAGTTATAGCGTCCAATATTAATCCAGTTAAAACGAAAAACCTCCAAGAATCGATAGTATTGCTGTTATCTCAACTTATTCAACTTCTTGAAAATTGTACATATGATAAAGAATTATTTGAAAGTGTTATGAATTTTGGAATAGTAGTAGTAAAAACAAACCATGTAAGTATACACCACTGTTTAAGTTTATGCTTTTTAAGTTGTTATTATTCAACTTTCAATTACCTCTTCACAATTTGTCGTTTACTTTCAATATTTTATTTCTTTCCTTAATCCAATATCTATATCTGTCTCTATTTGAAGTTAAGCTTCTACATACAAAAAGCGTATGGAATCTTTTATGAAACACACTATCTACATTTAATATTGCCTTTGATTTAGGTTCATTTTATTCCGTTACCATCAAGAGGAGAGTGTGTGATTTATCCGCAACTCCTTCTTGAGGTGTCTTCAATTTCCGCATAGACGTCTACCGTTTAGCTTCTTTTTGAAATTTCATCAAATGACTAAATTATTATATTGCTCTCTATATTGCTAAACTCTTTTTGTATCCTCGATTTCTTACCCTGTATCTTTTCTTCTAGTATTCGTGGGTGAAAACTGTAGCTATCTCAACGTAATATCACTCAGAAAGAGATAAAAATTCAATTCACACTGTAATTTTTACTATCTGGCTCATCGGCTTAGCTAAATAATTATTTTGGAAAAATTTGATTGATATTTAAATTTTGTATCCTTTTTAGTTTCATCTCACCTCTGCTATGGCCGACATTCTAATTTTAACTGTAACAGTATTGTTAAACAAGGAAAATATAGACTTCCACCAATCCTGTACATTATCAATTTCACTATTATCGAATTTACTGAAATACCGAAAATCTCTTATACTGGATAGACTGCCGCCGTACTTACAAGAGTACCGAGCTTTACTGAAGAAAATATGTTTTGAGAGCAATGCAGATATTCCTAAAGAAGAGGACGTTGTTAGACAGTTAGCAGACTGTGCTTTTCAACTTGAAAAGTTAACCAAAAGTTTGGTAGTTTATCAAAAAGATATGTCTAGGATTGCGATGTATTTGATTGCGGATGTTTTGGACCAGTATGAAAAAGTTACTATCCTGCCAAATGTTAAGGTATGTTTTTTCTTTGATTTTATTCTTTAAAATTTCTCATATTTATAAAAAAATGATATATTAAAACTGGCACTCTATTCATATTTTATAAATGCTGCAAACTGAGAACCACATGTTTGTAGGAAAAATATTAATTTTAACCTCAAAAAAACTTAAACTAATTAAGTGAACTAAAATCGTTAAGTATTATTTTTAGTGCCGTAAATTACTGTGCGAGCAGGCTTTTTGTAAATTTTACACGATTGGTCCACGTAAATAGTGTCTTACCCTCAGCGAAAGGACAGAACTCAACCAGAACGGACAGAAATCTTTAAACTGGCAGTGCAACAGTCTTCTACGAGAGAATTATTGCATCCTGCGTCTCGCAATCTTTATTTCTTTACTTCATGCTACGACGACTAGACAAACGACTCTTCTTCTCAGCTACTCAATAATTTATGAGTTATGCCAATTAATTGTTTTTATATTTACTTTCATATGTATTTCATTTTTTACTGCTTTAATTAATTAAATAGCTAATTTTATATTCCTACATAAACATCATATAATGTCTAGTTTTTGAATATATTGTCTTCATACTGAATTACAGCTAATACGTATTACTGGGCAGCTAATACGCATTACTTACTTTTTTCCTCATTAGATAGATCTTCTTCAAGTTCCATCTTCGCGGCGGAGGTCGGCAATCATCATAGCTATTCGGACTTTTCAGACGGCTGCTCTGAAAAGTTCATTTGATGTACATCCGTACCACTCTCTCAGGTTGCGCAGCCATGACATTCTACGTCTCCCCATGCTTCTCTTTCCTTGGATCTTTCCCTGCATAATATTTGGAGCAAGATGCATTTCTCTCCACGTATAATATGTCCAAGATATTCTAATTTTCTTGTTTCAATTTTATTTAAAATTTCTATTTCTTTATTCATCATTCTAAGAACCTCTTTGTTTGTGACGTGTTCTGTAGTTATGTCCACGATATTTTCAGAATTCTTCTATATACTCACAGCTCGAATGATTCTAGTTTTGTCATTGATGTCGCATTCAAGGTCCAAGATTCCATTCCATAAAACAAAGTCGAAAAAACACAGCACCTCGCCAACCTAACTCTTAGTTCCAATTTTAAATTTCTTGTACATAGCACTCTTCTCATTTTGTTGAAATTTGCTCTAGTCTTTTCTATTCTGATTTTGATCTTCTGAATTTAATCATTTGTGGAGTTAATCATTGTTCCCAGATATGCATATTTGTCCACTTGTTCAACGTTGGTTCCGTTTATTAGAAAATTCTCGTTATTTCTTTGAGCCTTCGATATTCTCATAAATTTCGTCTTCTTGGCGTTCATTGTTAGACCGTACTGTTTTCCATACTCCGCTATTATGGTCACCAGTCTCTGAAGATCTTCAATATTTTCGGCTAAGATCCGTATCGTCCGCATATCTAATGTTGTTAATGGGAACTCTATTTACCTTTATTCCAGCTGTTTCACCCTCAAGAGCTTTTATCACGATCTCTTCGGGCAGGCATTAAAAGGAATTGGCGACAATACGCATCCCTGTCTCAGTCCACGTCTAATTTCAATCTCTTCTGACAGCTGTTCGTTAACACGTACTTTTGCTCGCTGTTTATAGTATAAATTTGATATGATCCTGAGGTCGTTGTACTCAATCTTCTTTGATTTCAGGACATTTATTAATTTTTCATGTCGTACTTTATCGATTCATTTATTTTAGTCAATAAAACATGCGTATATATCTTGATTGACGTCCAGGCATCTTTGTATCAGTATATTAAGTGAAAAAAGAGCTTCACGCGTTCCTAGGCCTTTGCGAAAACCAAATTGTGGATCATTAACGTCTATGTCCAGTTTGTGATATATTCGGCTATGGATGACTTTTAGTAGTAACTTTAGCACATGAGACGATCAAGCTAATGGTGCGGTAATCGCTGCATTCTCTTGCGTTTTTCTTTTTGGGGAGACAAATAAAAATCATGTTAACCACTCTTTGTTAATAACCTGAACTATAAATTTGGTTCAAGAGTGTCACTAAAACATCAATGTGCTTCTCATCTAGAATTTTTAGGATTTCTATAGGAAGCATGTCAGGTCCAGTCGGGCTTTTCCCACTCTTCATTGTTTTTAATGCGTGTAATATTTCTTCTTTTGTAATATATGGACCTATTTCTTCTGACGTAAATTCTGTGTGCTCCAGATCTCCTCTTTCATCATCGAACAGTTCGTCGATATATTCTTTCCATCTTTATACTTTCTCGTCCGTCTGTGTTATTAGATAGATAGATAGAGTCAATGAGGGGGCTTTTGGCCTAGTTTTCTGCTACCTTTTATAATCCATTGTGGTGCTCTACCCAAAAGTAAATTCTCTCTGAACTTTCCATGTAGCTCTTTGCCGGTGGCTTTTCTTCCACTTATGCCACTAACATAAAATGTACTCTGCTGTTTCTTCTTCTAGGTGACAGAATCTGCATAGGTTATTATCTCAATCTTAACAGCTTTAACTGCCTGTTCAGCTGACAGAGCCGTATTAGCAGACTTAGTGCGGCTTTGACTGTTTTCCTTTCTTTGCTTATTAAGTCTGCAGTAAATTTTCGCGAATGTTCTGTAATGAATTATTTTTCCTCGTTTTAAAAAGGTACTTTGATGTTTTAGATGATGTTTTTAATAACTTTTTTACAACATTGAGATTGTTATTAATTTTGTTCTAAAGTACTGAACAAAATTCCAGTTCAGTGAGAAGTGAGTTTGCACCTTGTTTTGCCATTCACATTAAGATTCTTCTTCTTAATGTGTCTATCCATGACGAACATTGGCGATCATCATGGCGATATTTATTTATCTGCAGCAGCACGGAAGGGTTTCACAGATGTTGTATTGATCCAATTTCTGAGGTACTTTTCTGCAACTTTTTTAACCGGTTTAGTTTAGTGTTCTCAGTTTGCTCCATGAGTTTGGCATATTTTGTTAAATTTTTAAATATGCGAGATTAGGTATATTATACATCCAATCGTTATAATAGATCTTTATGTCGAATGTCGAACCATCAGTAGATACATTTTTGTTGAATTAGCATAAGTTGAAAATCAAACATTTTTGCGCAAACAATTTCACGATATATGTAATTCCATACTTTGGTTGAGATTAATACACTCACTCTCAAATTTAAAATATCAAAACTTACGATGCTACGAAGTTGCGTTAATCGTTTCTACAACCATGTTGCCATATATATCCCTTTACCATTAGCTCCAGCTTTTGCATCAGTTGCGTCATCAACTTTCTCTTCAATGGCTTGTATAATTGCTCTAAGATGATCTTTGGCCACAGCAGCTGCCTCAGCACAAGCCCAACGTGTTTCAGATAAAGATTTCAAAGTTTTTGACTTATTATATGTGATTTACAGAATCACTTTAAAAACAGAGTGCTCTTTGGACTGCCCTCAATATACGAATAAACTAATTGTGTTACACCAAAAAAATCGAAAATCTGTGGATTTTCAATATGATTGGCGGATGCATAGCAATGAATATACACAATTTTAATATTTTTCTCTCTACATATTTTCTGTACACCAGTAAAGTTTACTTACATCGCTGACGCTCCGTCAAAACATACAACTTTAACATACTCCAACGAAACATTCATATCATGCGAAGTAAAATTCATTATTTCTGCATCAGTTAAATTTAAACGCTTTATTAATACTAGCATGTCAACTCGAAACGTACTATCTTAAGGAATATATTTAAAAACACTAGCAATCTGTTCGTGGTGAGTGACATCAGAAGTCTCGTGTGCAATCATATAAAAAGGCTGCCCTTTCACTTCCCTCTGAATATTCCTTACATTTTTGACAGAATGTAAAACATTATTTTAAATGTTATTGTTAAGATAAGTGCAATTTTTTGAGGCCGATTCCAAGTATGCCTTAAATTTAAGGACATATTTTTTAAGAATTTGTACAATTTCTGGAAACAATCCTCTTTCATTCCTTTGTTACGTTTCATCATGACCACGAAGAGGTTTGTTACCTTTTACTAGAACTATAATTACACCAATTAGTTTCTTCATATAATCTAAATATTTTTGTCTCTGCTTCTCTCTGGATTTTAGTTCAGCCTCTTTTTCCATTCGGAGACTTAAAGATCTACGGACTAATTCACGTTATAACCCTTCCAAGTTTCTGTGCTAAATTAATAGGAACTTATATTTTGATTTATTTTAAATCGTTCTGTAGCTTTATTCCATGATAAAAATCCAATAGAAATAAACGCAGTCTGTATCAATCCAGGCTTAGTACGGTCGTTCATGCCAAAACATCTGCACGAAAAACAGAAGCTGTATCTTTTGTTGGACTATATTCCAACCATTTGAAGTTGGAATACTATGTGGTTGAAAAAGATCGACTTCTCTCATATTTTTCCCTTTATCTGTTATTTTGGCTAAAAACTGTTCTAGTTTTGGTTAATAAGGACCTCTTACTATTCTAGAAGATTTTTATAATCTTTGTTTTGGTAATTCCAAGCAAGAGTTATCGGGCACAGTATTGTGACTTCCTATCATGTTTAAAGGATGTTTTCTAACCGTTGCGCCTATCTAATAGAGATATCTGATTCTAAAACACTTAACCAGAAATAAATCTGCAATAAACACATTTAAAATTATAGATATTCGAGATGGCCCGTATCAGGTATAGTTAGTTAATTTCAGTAATCAGAAGATAATATCTACCTTATTTATAATTTTTAATTTTTTTATTACATAAGTTTTACTTTTTAGTTTAATGTCTCATTTATTTAATATTACTCAAAATGTTTACTGATTAGTTGTTTCAAGAATTAACTGATTCCAATTTTTGCGTCCTTCGAAAGTTAGTGTGAGTTCCACTGCACCCGTGGAACCCGTTGTGTCCACGCCTATGTAAATATTGACATTAAATTAATTTTGTTGAAAGTTAGCCAGAAAGTTTTCGCTTATTTTCCCAAAT